AAGTCTGTTTTTTTTTTAAAGATAATTCCCTAAGTCAAAAATTTAGTAACTATGTTGGCAATACAAGCCTTTTCTACATAAAAATTTGAAAGCATTGACAATTTTACATTGTATTGCCAACATAATGTCATTTTGACTTTTATCTTTAAAAAAAAACAGATTTTACATGACAACATGCAATTCCAAACGACACGATAAATGACACTTTCCACTCATACACATACGATTTTTCCTTTCAAACTGATATGCCGCGCGTAATCACGTACGAAATCATTTGAATACTCTATCAAGTGTATGGAATATGACGTTTTTTTTGCCATGCCGTTCTTTCGCGCATACAAACCGCTACATCCCAACACGCCACGATAAACCGCGCGAAATAACGTGTGTTTATGCCGACCTATTTTCTCGCCCCGAGAAATTATGTATATCACGTGATGAAGGTATAATCGGTGGTGAAACACCGAATACAGAAATACACCATCATTTTGTACCGATTAGACGGTGTTCCATCATCTTTACACCATTCCGGCACCAAGTTAATTCCAAACGGAAATAAAGTGTACACCAAACTTTCTCCTACCCACTTACCAACGCCACACTGTCAATAGAGTAAAAAGTGTCGACATCCACTATGTATCATTTCGAAGGCACCTCACGCAAAACACAAACTGTTGAAAATTATAAATAAACACTCTTAAATTGACGTTTTCAATTAAAAGAGATGGACGATAAAGTATGAAAACATTCAGATTCCCGCCAACATTTGCTTGCTCGTCAATGTCAAGTGTATAGGGTGTTTAGCAATCCCCTGGTTTTTATTCTAATCGGTGACTCCACCGATGAGTTAGGTATCTTTGTTCAGTGAATGGAGAATGACAATGACCGACATAGAATGGTGAAATTTGAAATTGGAAAGAAAATGTGGGAAGCAAACAGCTTCCGCAAACTAAACTTGAACATGGATATCTTTGTATACTTGATGGATCGTGGATTTCCCTTACTTTTGCGAGTATCAGTTCTGATTTTGTGTATCCAAATTTTGACAAATGTAGGATTTGATGAAAACTTATGGAAAGACACGTCCGCCGGTGAATAGGAATTATTTTCACGAAAAGGCACACTACACACAATCACCATTGTTAGGAAAAAACTTTGAAAAAACCGATGAAATAATAGTTTCCAGTCTCACACGTATAAAACTCTTGTCAACAAACCTATGTCAATAGCTGTCAATCATTGTTTTCATACTTTTCATACTCTTTTGGCATCTGACAGTCTGACGCCAGAGAGAGAGGCTTCTAAATTGAAAAGGTCAATTATGTTTGCAAAAATGGCGAACGTTTGTGAAACATTTTTGGTTCCACACAAATTCAACGTAGCGTTCAGCAGAATAATCGCAAAGCGTTTAGACAAATACCATTTTAAAGTCACGTGATACTGGTGGCAAAAAACGTATGTCCATTGATTATGTCGTTGATATCACCTACAAAAAGCTACTGGTGGTTAATTACTATTGAATTTTAATATATGTTCCCACTAGCAACAAACGCGTTCCTGAAGTAGTATTGACCAATCAGAGGGCAATTTTAATACTTGCAATTGTTGCGAGACTCACTTTTGTTGCATGTGCTGTCTGTTGTAATACATTCTGAACTTGAATTGGGTACCCGTTTTCTTTTTGCTTCTTTTCGAGTTGGAAAAAGGTTAATATAGTCAAAATTATTAGCTGTGTCTGTTCGTTGTATTACTTTCGAAAATAACTTTGACAAACTAATTGATGACAGTGACGGATTCTATTTCAGGTAAGAATATTATGAACAATAATTAGACAGCAATTTTTTTGTCAATTTTACTATCACCGCTGTTTGACATGTATTCAACAAGGATAGAGAAAAATCACGTGACTTTAAAAAGGTATTTGGACTACCAACGTTTGTATCTGGGAACGGCTAATGTTTACCAGGTTTGGAAAGCGAATACTCTCTGCTGCCTTCCCGAAGTGGAACTTTTGGAGTGAAATCCATTTACTCGACTTCAAATTATCAAACATGAACAGTTGGGTACTCAATTTACTCGAAAATGGTCATAGTACTTAGAGTACACGGAATGAACAAGTCGCACGCGAAATTGGAACCAGGTTATCTGTTGGTTACACTGGAAATTGAATATAGAATAAACTACTGCAGTATCGTTATGGGTCAGTGCAGTGGGTCAGTCATTAGACTTTTTTTCGGAGAAAGGTTCATCCATATTCATAGGGATCGATACGATTTATTCCAGAGTTTCTTTTTTATTCAACATTTTCAGCTTTACTGCTCCCAGAGCGCTCCCCGTCTGGGCGTTGACGTCACAGATCTCTGTGAGAGTGCTCCTACAGCTATTATAATCAAAACAGAAGCGCACCATTTGAAATCAAAAGTGGAACGTTGTTTATTGTTTTGATCAAACTCTTTGATCCATTGAATTTGACCGAGCAAAAAAGAGAGTTCGGTGCGAAATTAGAGAGCGTTTTATTGTTTAAGGGCGGGTATTATAAAACTGCTTTGACAGTTAACTTGAAGTTAACTTTTTGAATTACATGTAATTTCAGAAGTTAACTTTAAGTTTACTTCCGGAATTACATGTAATTCAAAAAGTTAACTTGAAGTCCGCCAGCTCCGGGGCTTCACGCGCTTATTTCTTTCGAAAAGTGTTTGTTGCACCACGCATATGTTCCCTGCAAATCGGGGGCGACTAAGCACCGAAGCGAGTAGCTCGAGTGTTTCAAGCTCTTGAAAGGAATACAACTACTGCTCCCTGGAGCGCTCCTCGTCTTGGCGTTGACGTCACCGATTTTTGCGGGAGTGTTTCGAGAGCGATTATAATCCAAAACGAAATTTTTGAACGCGCTTTGTATAAAGCGAAAACGGACACAATTTTGGCATAACGGCTTGTTAAAAAAATTAAAATTTGATGCAATACAAGGTGCGATCAAAAATGTGTGCCAATTACAATGGCCGCAACTGTACTGTATTATTGTTTCGATGAAACTCGTTGATCTATCATATTTGACCGATCAAGAAAGGGCGCTACGTGCAAGATTTCAAAGCGTTGTAATTGTTCAAGTCGAACACATGAATTTCACTGAGAGCAACGCTCTGTTAGAAGCCGAACATGTGCCTGATAACTTTATGACGTCATTTGGGGTGACTCAATATAATGCAACTCTCCATAAGGCTATTACACAGGATTGCTTTTCGGGCCTAGTTTTTAGGAATTGCGGCCATATTGTGTATCACCATTGAGGACGTCATCAACTGTTTGCGCCAGCGGTCGTGGTTTAGAATAACTATTTATGATGAAAAATATTATTGATTTCGATTAGCATAATAGGCAAAGAGGAAGATGCAAACGAGATCTGGAAAAGCGTTGTTTTAGAATGTTAATTAATGTATTAAAACCAAGTGAGCATGAAGTAAAAGCCCGCGGAATCATAACCTGTGGTGCAAAACACCCTAAGTAAAAACGAGTAACGAAACGCTGCCCACGTCATCTCTTGTTCTTTGGCGCAGTGGAGGCTTCAGATTAGAGGTGTTTTCTCGTGTCTCAAATTTTTGAAACATTATTCAAAACTGATTTAAAACAATTTTACAATGCCTTCATAACTTCTCGGCGCGAAAATGTTGATTGAATTGTATTTCGAAACGGTTTGAACCAATTTTGTCTGACGTCATGGGTTCATTGCGAGAATATATCACGCAGTCAGAGCGAATTCGAATTTCATTGGTTGAAAACAGTCAGAAAACTAGTTTCAACCAATGAAATTTACACGAACTTGTGATTTCTGCAGGATCAGACCTAGAGTGCGTTCGAAATCGCCCTAGGACACCCATGAATTATTCGTGGCTGGTGTGCACTTGGTATGACGCCCAGGGTGATTTTGAATGCACTCCTACTAGTTCAAACCTGTTTTGTTTCAAAAAAGTGAATGTCAGAAAACAGCTTAAATCTACAGAGGCCTCATGAGGATAAGCTATCCTGTCGTTGTGTGTATTATCCTTTAAGTGACATAATCCGCCAATCGCATATTACGTCGGTCCATAAATACTCCGAGCAAACAGATTTACGTCCGACTGGTCTGAGCGGAATTAACGAACGGTTATATAGAGTTGCCTCTCCTAATACCCACCCTTAGGGGTGGGTATTATAAAACTAATTTGAGAGTTAACTTAAAGTTTTCCAGAAGTTAACTTTAAGTTAACTCTCAAAGTAGTTTTATAATACCCGCCCTAAGAATCGTTAACTAACAGATTTAGGGCGGGTATTATAAAACTGCTTTGACAGTTAACTTGAAGTTAACTTTTTGAATTACATGTAATTTCAGAAGTTAACTTTGAGTTAACTTTCAAAGTAGTTTTATAATACCCGCCCTTAGGGTGGGTTTTATAAAACTGCTCTGACAGTTAACTTAAAGTTAACTTTTTGAATTACATGTAATTCCAGAAGTTAACTCTCAAAGTAGTTTTATAATACCCGCCCTTACCCATCCTAATAAGGGTGGGTATTATAAAACTGCTCTGACAGTTAACTTAAAGTTAACTTTTTGAATTACATGTAATTCCAGAAGTTAACTTAGGGGTGGGTATTATAAAACTAATTTGAGAGTTAACTTAAAGTTTTCCAGAAGTTAACTCTCAAAGTAGTTTTATAATACCCGCCCTAAGGCATACGTCCGCCAGTTCTCGAGTCGGCAGCTGGCATGCGAGTGACCATTATGAGCAGCTGATAGTGGTGACGTCGCCTGCAGACCTCGATGGATTACTTGCTATTCAAAATGTGCTTGTGCGTTAATTTTTTCGTTGATTTTAAATGTAGAAAAGGTGAATTTAACGTTTAAGAATTATTCCCGGCTTTTGAATTTATCGGAATAAAAAAAATTCAAGCGCCTGGGAATAGAAAAACACGACAAATTCGTATCGATATGAACCGTATCGTATCGATCGATAAGCCCTCCTCTACTTTTTTTTAGGTTAGATGTTTATTTTTGTAGCTGCTGCTCTTCTGACAATTTTTTAATTCCAAATCAAAATGAATTTTGCAAAAAACCTATCGAACTTACTTGCCGTCCAAGCAAACCAAAACGTAAGTTTGTCAACACAATTTCCACCTTGAGCACCAACACCACCTAATTTCAGTTCCAACAAGTCCGCAATAAATATGTGAACCGCTGGATGATAAGGGACGTTAAACGACGAAAAACAGTGGTGGAGTTCGCGCCGACGAGACTTCGCATCAATTCCCTGAGAAAAAACGACATTCTACCGGCAGAACTACGCGAATTGGCTACAGCAGAAATGACAGCTCTTCCTAGAGATTCTATATTACATCACACAACTAATCGGTGTGTTATAACATCTAGACCCAGAGGAGGCGTATATCGGTGGAGGCTGAGTCGTATCGTATTCAGGCATCTTGCTGATTATAATAAATTGTCGGGTGTGCAAAGAGCTATGTGGTAATTTTGGTACCTACATAATAAGGATCTAAATTAAACTAACATTACCCAAGAAGTTAACAAAAGTAGTCAGTTTGTAAATAAAGTAAAACTCTTATCAAGCATTTATTAATCCTTCAGCAGCGATGATTATATTAGTACATTTTGGTACTAAATCTGGTGCAAATATTACCTCGCACTGTCTTATCTGTGACTGTGAGGCATCAGTTCTACTTAAACATAATCTACAATTTGAGAATACTATACTAATTGAATTTCTATTATTATTTTTATTTTAAATTGTAACACATAATTACATACACCATAGGTTACATAAATAGTATATTAAGTTAATTGTAGTGGCTGTATGCACTATGTGCAAAGCCAATCAAACCAAAAAAAAAAAAAAAAAAAATAATCTACAATTAACATTGTTTGCCCAAGAAAGTCCTAAGCTTGGTTCAGCAAGGCCAGTCACCACATTATCTGTTACCTGATTGACCACTAAAATTCCACAATTATACTGATCTTGTAAATTATTTAAAGTTGTTGCAATCAATTTAAAATCTTGACTCCTGGATATGTACTTTGGATTCTCAGTTTCATTTCTAAATATACCCGCTATGGAATCTAGAATTATTAATCCTACATTCTTTCTTGATAGAATATGTGGTAATTTTACTAAATATTTTTGTAGTTGGATTGAATCTGCAATGTGAACAATAAGAATTTGGTCTTCAAAATCTAGTTTATGTTTTGCTTTGTAAAATTGGGCTAATTGATTTAGTCTTTTTGATGGGAATACGTCTTCAGTGGCTATGTAGAGGACTTCTACAACAAATAATTATAAATTGGTATGCATTGCAAGGTGAACAATAATTTTACCTTTTCCTACAGTCTGTGGTTGACAGGGCAATTGTATATTTAAAGCAAGTTGCAAACAAAATTGTGTTTTTCCAACTCCGCTACAGCCGTAAATTTCCGTAATGCCATTCACTGGTAGCCCTCCTAATAAAATTTTATCAATGTTTTCACAGCCTGTACTGATTCGGTCACAAGGTTTTATTTGATCCGCTGTTATGAATTTGTCTTTTAAAATTTCCTCAGAAGCTGTTAGCACCATTTTATTTGCTTCTTCCAAGGAACATCCTGTTTTAGTTTGGAGATCGTTAACATCAGTCATTACGATTTGTTGGAATGTGTTTAAGTTTTCTAAATGAAATATATTTTTATTTTGTTTGAAAAATTATATATTTATTCTGTTTATTACCTTCTTCGAGTAGCGAGTAGGCCTCAGGACCTATTATCGATTTGATCTTATCCATTTTTATTGCTATATTTGGGCTATTTAGCTATATTTGTTTATAATTTTTTAACCGCACTTTATTTTCAAAATTTTGTGGGATTTTTTTTTTAAGGGAGTGACTACTGCACTGTCCAGATAGTGCCCCAGTGTTGACTAGACAGTGCCGATGGAATCTGCACTATCCAGACAGTGCCGACTAAAGCTCTATGCACTGTCCCAGATAATTTAATTATCATATCATATAAAGTTATAGCTATATTCAAAATGGCTTGTATTCCTTGCTGGGATTCAGTGTATTAATAGTTATTTTTATATTAAGTAGGTACGCAAAATAAGATTTTTAATGGTACCTGAAAGTGTCAATTTTCACAAGTCAGGTCGAGGACAAAAATTGATTCGAAGGTTTACACAAATGTCGCATATGAAATACAAACAACATTTTTCCGACCAGACTGCGCAAAGTAGTACTTTTCATGGAGTGCGGAAAAGTACCACTTTGCGCACGCTCGTAGGAAAAAATGTTGTTGGTATTTCGTATGAGACATTTGTGTTAATGGGCACCTTCAAATGAATGTTTGGCCTTGACCTGACAGCAAGGAATGCAAGTCATGCAATTCAACTTTATATGATATGATAATGAAATTATCTGAACAGGGGTGCGATTTTCGAGACCATTCAAGTAGGTACTAGGTGTTTGTTTATAACTGGAACACTCCAGTAACCTTCTTATATTATTGAAAATAAAAGGCATGTTCTGGCTGGGAAATGTCTTGGTAAATTGCAACCTACAACGATATTTTTTTATCGTCATAGGTTTACAGGGTGCGCCAATAAGGTATTTTTTTCAAATGGAATGCCCTGTATATTTTTGTTATCCAAATAATATTTGGTCACTTTGTTACCTTTTTCTGACGTTTCGAGAAAAAATGTTTTTTGTGTATTTTGTGGTGTTTTTAGATGATTTTCTAGTGTTTGGAAGGATAATTTTCGTATTTTAAGATGGAAAGTTGTTAGTTTAAGAAATTATTAGTGGAAAACCCGGATGTTTGGAAAAGTTATGATTTCTTTGTGACAAACCTTTACCTACTTAACAATTAGGTAGCTACTATCCAGGATTTGCCTTCCTGTTTAGTTTTTTCATAACCAAATCCTGAACCCTGATTCCTGATGTTTATTTTATTTCTCTGCTATTCAAATTATCGACAGAAGCTGATGTTGAGGTTAGTAAATGGCTTGGATCCATATACCATTTATGTAGAGAGACTTTTTGTTTTTTCAATATGGATTTCGTAAGATTTTTTCTCTTTTGTTACAATCCATGAAGCCCCAACAAAGTACAGACAAATCATTTTTCTCCGTTAAAAACCTGTGTTTTGTCTCTGCAGGAACGACATGAAACTAGACTTTCTTGCGATTAAAACGGTTCCCACAACTAAGTACAATACATAACGTATGCATTTTCCAAAAAATCGACAGTTTACAGACTTTATACAAATCAAAAATCGCAATAAAACGGATTTTTTTAAAATAAAAAGGCATTGGCCTCCATTTTGAATTTCATTTTGACAGGTCGTTGGATTGCCCTATTGGTAAAACTGAATGGAGAACTTGGAGAAGGGTTTTCATTTGTGCTTTTTATAGGAGCCCATTTCTCAAAACTGGAGTATTTCGTGAGAAAGATTAAAAAGCGCTTCCTTGTGTTTAGTAGTAATTGCTTGGAGCTGATCTCTGGCAGATGTAAATAAATCCAATAAAGAAGAGCTGCTTTCCAGTATGCACATTGGCGCGCTATAGAGCTCCTTGGGAGCGCCACGCACTTAGCTTTGCACCGTTCCATTATCATGATGTGTGACTTTTGTCCGTACATATAGCTCGGGTGCTCAACGCTCCGAGTAGCTCCGATACTGGAAAGCGGCTCAGATTACCCTTTGAAATGGCGCGGCACGAGTGTAGGTGTCATTTCAGATTTGTGGAGATTGTGAATCTCTTTGGGACAATAGTGCGGCACTTTTTTGCTCCGATCAGTTCCGTTCCTGGGTTTTGCTACAAGACCTTATAGCCGTACCCCGGTCACAGGCTTCGGAGTCGCGCGCATCGCATTATTGTCAGTTCCGCCCAGCTGAGTTATCGTGATCTGAAAATAGTTGTATTCCTTTCACACTTAGGAGGAGCTCTAGGGCGTTACGCGCATATTCCTTTCGAAATCGTTCATGGGACGGTTTTTGACGTTTCGGAACAAACCTAATATCTTGCCCTTGGAACTTTTTGAATACATAGGTCGGTTCAAACACGTCAAAAACCGTCCTATGAACGGTTTGGTAACCACTTTGTATACGCATTTCGGATTCTACGAACAAATTTCAGGGTTTGCGCAGAATCGTGACGGTACCCTGCGGTGTTGGATCAAAGCTGTTGTCAAATCCTAACTCACAAAAGTCACAAATGACATCCCCCGCTAACATTTACTAGCCGTGCGTTCGTTATTTTGGTCCGAGTTCTCCGAGCTTGACTTTACCGTTCGTTTATTTAAAAAGTGTACTCGGTGCAGCCTCATTCGCGTTCGTTTATTGAAATTTCTGGCACTTTTATACAGCGTTCAACTGCTCTGTTCGCTCACTGGTCACGTGATTACGGCTCCGCTCAACACGCTCTGCTCTTTGAACAAAATACCGAACGCAAGGTAGAAAGAGAAGGTATAATATAACGATAATTATGGTCTAGAAAGAAAAAGAACATCGTTTCATGGTCGGCACGTTTATGGTCGACACTTGTCGTTGTCGACCGAACTAAAATGTTTGAAAGCAGACAACCCACAATTTCTCTACAGTCTACAGCCGTTCGGCGTTGATCCAGGGAAATCAGGGAAATGCAGCCTAAAAAGGTGTTGTCGGCCGGAAATCGGGATATATTACCTTACATTTTCAAAAAGCGGGACATTTGGCATTCAATTCGTAAATCGGGACATTTCGAAAATATTTCTGAAAATCGGGACTGTCCCGCCTAAAGCCTAGTACTCATAACTGCGAAATTCGCATTTTTTTGACATTGCGTTGACAATTTGACGTTTTATGCGTGTATCAAACGTCAAATTGTCGAAGCAATGTCAAAAAAATGCGAATTTCGCAGTTATGAGTACTAGGCTTAAGGGAGGATTTTCATGCATCCGTTTTTCCGTCGAAATATGTCCGAAAAGTCTTCTATTTTGACATATTTATATACGATTATGTCAGAATACAATGTTAAACGGACATATTTCGTCGGAAAAACGGATGCATGAAAATCCTCCCTTAAGCCTAGTACTCATAACTGCGAAATTCGCATTTTTTGACATTGCGTTGACAATTTGACGTTTTATGCGTGTCTCAAACGTCAAATTGTCGAAGCAATGTCAAAAAAATGCGAATTTCGCAGTTATGAGTAGTAGGCTTTAATCGGGTCGTCTGACAACCCTGAACGTAGGCAGCATGTCGTTTCTCGCCTGAACGTAAGGTGTTTGCACTTCACTATAGATTATGATTTCGCGCATCCTAAATTTAAATTCTAAACTACGACTGCTGGCGGCTGGCGCAAACAGCTGACGACTTAGTTAATGACGTCGGAAATGGCTGCACACCAATATGGCGGCGCGGCGATTACCAAAAACGAGGTCCATTAGCAATCCTTAGGGCCGGTTTCTCAATAGCAGGTCAACCCCGGATTAAGGATAACTCCAGAGTAAACATAGCAACATGCCTACCCCAGAGCTGCTTTTCAGTGTGCACATTGGGGCGCTCTGGCGCGCTCTAGAGCACCTCGGGGGCGCCACGCACTAGATTTATACCGTTCCAGTATCATGGCGTGAGACGCCTGTCTTAGTGTCAAATATGTCAAATTTTAAAAACAATTATCTGTTTGTTTGTGCAGTTTGTTTTTTTATTTATCAAAAAAGAAAGAGAATCAAAACTATATTTTAAAAATGTTCAATCTCGAGATATAACAAGAAATAAATAAATAAATAGCCACCCACGGATGTGACAGCTGACAGGTTGACGCGTACGTACAGCTCGAGGGCTCAACGCCCCGAGTAGCTCCGAGCGTCAAACTCCCATACTGGAAAGCGGCTCTGGAGTTAAAACGAACCCGGAGTTGACTCGCTATCGAGAAACCTACCCCAAGGCCCAAAGGTACACGTGTGCAGTTGCAGCCCTGGAGCTATGCCCAAGCTTAACCCAGGGGTTACTTGCTATTGAGAAACCGGCCCTTAGTAGTGTTTATTATTCTTGCGACTACCCTACGTCAAGGCGAGAAGCGACAGGCTACCTACGTCATCACTGGTGCTTTGGCATGGTGGGGGGCTTGAGATTTGAACTACACAGGCCTTATGAGGATAAGCTATCCTGAAGTAGTAGGGTGTATTATCCTTGGACTATCCTGTGTAGTGTGTAATAGCCTTGAGTGTGGTGTAGTGTTATATCACGTGATAAAAAGGTGAGTTCCGAATGGTACCAAGTGTCGACACTTTCTACAGTATTATTAACACTATAGATCTGTTTCCTCTACTTACTCTTGAAATGTTCTCGTAGTACTTTTGGAGTGACCTCTCTTTACTCGACTCCCTATAGAAAATAGGAAACGTGAACGTAGCTGTTTCAACGCTAAAAAGTCAAACCCTTTGATTGGCGTACTTAGAGTAAACGGAGTGAGAACCGAACCGAGCTAAATAGAGTGACGAAGTAGAGAGTAGAGTAGAAACTTAGAACGGTCTTGAAACCAAAAGTTATATCAAAAGAGAAGCAGTTCAAGGAATTTCTTTCTTTCGCTATTTTCATTCAAATTCAGTATTTTTCATCCTTCCCTCCTCAGTAATCCCTTCCGGACGGTCTACCGAATTGTTGACCTTGCTTTGCATACTTGCCACAAATTTAACCTAATTTTTAATTTTTCTACTTGGGTATAAATTTAAATTGTTCTAAACTGGAAAAATTAACTATTGCAAATTAAAAATAATAAATTAAATTGTTGCACTCGACAGCTTGCCTTGTGGTTTTCCCAGGGCTAAATTGGTTATGTTATATATGGCAAAACAAAAATTCTAGTGAATTATCATCTTGACTCATCGAAACCTCTACAACTAAAAAACCGCAATTAAGCAATGTGATAATAAAATACCATACCACAGTTTATTCACGCTAGCACACCTCGCTGGCCGAAGGAAGTGGCTTTGATTATCTTTTACAGATAAGAGAAAATGTGAGGAACAGCATAGTTTTTTTCAAGAGAAATATGGCCAATTCAAATTACAGGTAAATAATTTAGGCATTTTATTTAAATTAATTAATGATGATATTAAAAAATTCAAGGCTGTCAACTGATACGTACTTGATTATTTTATTTCGATATATTTTGTTAGATAACATAGAGGGTTTAGTTTAGAGGAGGATTCATGACTATTTAATAAAAACTTGTTTAAAGGTGGGGACACATCTATGTATTTTTAATACCCATTTAGAATAACCCCATCCTTATTTATCAATCACAAATCAGATGAAACAAAAAATTATCAACAAAAACGAATATCTATTGCTAATACGTCAAATTCATGTACAAATAGGAAATTCCTAACCTAATTTTATTTGTCTGTTCAAGAAGCGACGTACGTTTAGTTACTAGAATGACTGGTACTTCTAAATAGGTATTAAAAATTCTATATCATGCATTCTTCCGATCCGACTCCGATCATACAATCAAGGTCCTTATTCTTGGAACAGGGGAGCAGCGGAACACTCGTTCTCCTGGGAACGCTGGTCCCTGTTCCAAGAATAAGGACCCTGATTGTATGATCGGAGTCGGATTGGAAGTATCCCGGGCTTTATGAGAGAAATTATATGATTTATTTTTTTTTATTTTGATTTCTATTTCAGCCTGTATATCTCCCCTATTGATTAATCACTATTTTCAGTTTTCCTAATATCAATACTTGATTCTATCTATCTATTCAGCATTCTTCAGTTCATCTCTGGATGTAGACCTCCCCCAGTCTTCTCCATTCCTCTCTGTCTGTTGCCATGTTCATCCACCTGGTTCCAGCGTGCTTCTTCAGGTCATCAGCATACCTCATCTGGGGTCTTCCTCTATTTCTTTTCTTTTATTCTCCCAAGGTCTCCAGCTTAAGATACAATTACTCCATCGGTCGTCTTTTTGTCTGATATTGTGACCTGCGAATTTCCATTTCAATTTTGCTACCTCCTCTCTAACATTTCTCACTCTTGTTTTATCTCTTATCCACTCGTTCCCCTTTTTATCTATCAGTTTCACATGTAACATTTGTCTTTCCATTGATCTTTGTACTTTTGTTATTTTATCAATGTTTGACTTTGTAAGTGTCCATGTTTGGGATCCATAGGTGAGAACAGGAAGTATACATTGATTATAAACTTTAGTTTTGAGGTATTGTGGATATTTCCTATTTTTCAAGATGCAGGTTAATTTGCTGAATGCTGCTCAAGCTAGTCTAACTCGTCTCTTGATTTCTGCTGTTTGGTTTTCTTTGTTGAGTTTAATAATCTGTCCTAGATATATACAGGGTGTCCCATGGTGGATGGCGTATTAGACGTTAATGGAGAACTAAAAAGCGAATCATTTTGAAAATTTGGCAACCGGGATAAACGACCATAATCTACACTTTAAAAATATTTTTGTTTATGCGGTGTTGCCGCTTCTACTCTAAACTAGTGGTAACATCGCTATTTTAAATGGAACACCCTGTATGTGATTGCATATTTGGATTCTACGTTAAATTCTGAGCAGATTTTATGTGATATACCTTATACCTAAGTTCAACTGTTTTGGAAATATTGACAGTTGAAAATTGACTGTTTGCAACTTTGACAGGCTGTAAAACCTAAACGGTTAATTTTAGAGGAAAAACGGTTTCACATTCCTATCTTAGATTTTCATAAACTATCATTTGACACCAACTTTGAACTTAACCGAAGATTAAATTTAACTGGAATTTTTAATCATGGATTTAATTCAAAGTTGGTGTCAAATGATAGTTTATAAAAATCTAAGATAGGAATGTAAACTCGTTTTTCCTCTAAAATTAACGATTCAGGTTTTACAGCTTGTCAAAGTTGCAAAAAGTAATCACATACAGGGTGTTCCATTAAAAAAAGCGATGTTGCCACTAGCACCGCATGGCCAAAAATATTTTTAAAGTGTAGATCATGGTCGTTTATCCCGGTTGCCAAATTTTCAAAATGATCTGCTTTTTAGTTCTCCATAAACGTCTAATACACTATCCACCGTGGCGCGACACCCTGTATATTCGTCGACTTGTTCTATTTTTTTCTGTCCTATTCTGATTGTAATGTCATCGTCTGTTTTTAGCTGCTGTGTCAAGTTCTTCCAGCATTTCCATCAGTTCTTCTTTCTTATCAGTTATTAGGGCGATATCCACGTATCTTAAGTTGCTCAAGTGTTGTCCGCATATTTTTATACCTTTTTCTTCCCAGTCTAGTTTTTTAAAAACATCTGCCAGGGCCTGGTTGAAAAGTTTCCTATGGGTATTGGTTTTGCTCCCTGTGTATCTGTAGTCTATTCTGCTATTAATAATTAATGAGCTCTTCACTGCCCAGTGTTCAACACTATCAAAAGCCTTTTCGAAGTCGATAAATGCAATATATAGTGGGATGTGATATTCATTGGCTCGTTCTATTGGGATTTTCATATTTAATAGGTGGTCACTTGTACTGAAACCCTTTCTGAAGCCGGCCTGCTCTTTCGATTGGTAACCATTGAATTTTATTGTAAGCCTGGTGGTAAGAATTATTGTGAAGAGCTTATAAATTACGTTAAGGAGTGTTATAGGTCGATAGTTTTTCAAGTCTGCTCTATCACCGTTCTCATGAAGGATGATGGTTATGGATTCATTCCAGTTGTTTGGAATTTTCTTTTCTTTCAGTAGGTATTTTATTTAGGAGATTATGAAGAGTATTGATAACCGTTTTTCCACCGTATTTCTTATGTTTCAATAAATTACTATATTCTTGATGGAGCAGTGGTATGTGTCAAAATCTTCACAATTTTCATCAAAATATTCGAAGTTAATATTTTGAGTTTGTAATACTTGTTTAACATCATTTAAAGTACTTGCCTCGGTACTTGCATATTGTTGTTGGAGAGATTGAACTCTGATTTGCTTATTTCAGGTTGTAATTCTGAGTTTACATTCTTTGTTTTAATTTGTAGTTGTTTTACGGTTTCTTCCGGTGGTTCCTTTTTTGTTTGATATAGTTCTGTATAAAAGAGTTGTGTGATATTTATGATATCCTCCTTAATATTAGTTTCTACGCCGTTCTTGTCTTTTATTTAATTTATTTCGTATCTTCCTAGAGTGTTGGTCTTAGGCATTTCATATTCCTGTTATTCTTTATTACTCTTTCTATTTCTATTTCTTGGTTCTTTTTTTTTGTTTTCTTTTATCATTTTCCTGATGGTCTCATTGATTTCTGTATATTCTATCGATTTCCTTTTCCATTCTATGTTCAGTTTCCTCCTTCTTTCCATGAGTTTCTTTGTCTCTTCTGATATGCAATCTTCCTTCTTTTTATCTTTTTGTGCAATTTCTTTTCCTACCCTAACCATGGTTTCCGCTAATGTATCGTATATTTTATCTATATTTTCATTATCACTGTTCAAGTTCTAGATCAGTTGTTCCTTCAGTCTCTCTTTGTATATGGTTTTATTTTGTGCAAGTTTGGTCACGTCTAGTTGTCCCTTGTTTCCATTAGTTTTTATTTTCATTTCAGAGTTGCCATCCATACGTATTTTTGCTCTGACCATTCTGTGGTCACTGCCTGTGGTAGGTTGATCAGTTTCTGTGATTTTTGTTGTGTTAGTCCTTTGTGAGGATTTGATCCTTGTTGGGAGCGAATTTTTGCCTCCCCCAGATTCCGTGAGACAGACCATAGAGGTGTGGGAGTCGGGAAATTTCCCACCCACCTGGGGACCAGGTCCATTTGTTTTGAAATTCGCCATGGTATGTATGTACAGTGGTCCAAATTGGACACTTTCTTATGGAAACACCCTTTATTTTTAGAGAAAGAAAAAAATGGACCCCCCACTCTGAGGCTCAAATTTCATGAAATCTTGATTGGTGCAAACCGCGTTTTGATATCTTCAACCGTTTAGCCGCTAGAGGGCGATTCTCGATTTTGAGCAATATTGTAAAGCCTCCATAACTTTTTTGTTTATGAAAATAATTCATTTCCATAAAGACCTTTTGGAAGCACTTTTTCAAGCAGAATTCAGTGACGTTCTCAGTTTTCTTCTGTCTGGCTTCGATTATGAGATCTTGACCATAATCCGATTTTTTTCAATAGGACACACTATATATTATTAGTTCATTAGAAAGCTATGCTTTCGCTGATTTCAATGATATAAAGTTCGATAGGTTTACCTCTAACAGTTTTCGAGAAAAAAAATTATTTCGGTTTTTGTCATCATAAGAAACAATGTGTTGGAAAAGGACTTTATCTCTGTAAGGAAACTGAGAAAGTTCTCTTTCTAACACGTTGTTTCTTATGACAAAAACCGAAATAATTTTTTTTCTCGAAAACTGTTAGAGATAAACCTATCGAACTTTATATCATTGAAATCAGCGAAAGCATAGCTTTCTAATGAACTATTAATATATAGGGTGTCCTATTCGAAAAAATCGGATTATGCTCAATATCTCATAATCGAAGCCAGACAGAAAAAAACTGAGAAGGTCACTGAATTCTGCTTGAAAAAGTGCTTCCAAAAGGTTTTTACGGAAATGAATTATTTTCATAAATAAAAAAGTTATGGAGGCTTTACAGTATTGCTCAAAATCGAGAATCGCCCTCTAGCGGCTAAACGGTTGAAGATATCAAAATGCGGTTTGCACCTATCAAGATTTCATGAAATATGAGCCTCAGAGTGGGGGGTTTATTTTTTTTTATCTCTAAAAATGAAGGGTGTTTCCATAAGAAAGTGTCCAATTTGGACCACCCTGTACAAGGGGTAATGGCAAGTAAAACACCTCACTTGCCAGACGGGTTGGTGAGTTTTGATTCAGCCGCCCATTCTGGGACAGACGTTGTTTTCAGCCGCTCACTCTGAGGCAGACGCTGCACTATCACTATGCTGCAGTGCTAATTTTGGTCCGTCCCGGGTATTTATTTTCCCCGGTACCACTCATATCTTAGAGGCATTCCCCTATCCGCCACCTGGGGAGGCGTCCGATGGAAGACTAGTAAACCTCACAATACTTGATTAC